CACACACACACACACACCCGGCAGACATTGAGCTGAAACTATGGAGCGACCAGAGCCACAGCATACAGCAGAAAAGGGAAAGAGCGTAATTTTTATTATGATTTTTTGTTTGTTTGTTTGTTTTTAGTCCCAGAGCAGCGATGGCCTGCAAACGCCTGCTGGTTTCATGGTTTCTGCCCTGCTTTTTCCTTTTATCTCGCTGATCTGTCGCTCCCATATTCCAGGATCTGTCTGACCACAGAGACATGGCCAAACAACCGGCCAGCGCTCCCACCGGCTACATCCCTGCGCCGCAGTCCGACGGAGCCGCGGGACTTACAGGAAACAAACCGGACAACACGGCAGCGTGCCCGCCGTCCACTCCTCGCCATCACCCGGCGCCTCAGCCGCCGCCTCCTTGTAACGAGCGCAACACTTTTTGTCCCGCGGAAAATAAACCGGGGGAACCGGACAGCAATAAAGAATACGGGACGTTTAAAAACACCCCGCCGGCCGTCCCCGGATCCGTTGCCGTTAATTCGGCCTTGAGGAAGGATTCCATCGGTTCGGCCCGCGGGGGGTCCGCCCAGTACGGCGACCCGCTCCGGGCCACCGCTGAGCAGAACAACACCGCAGGCAACTGGACGTCTATGAGCCAGACCACCATCATACTGGGAACAGATGGGAACACGTCTGTACAGCCTGGAACCGTGGCGGGGGTAAGTCAGCTAAATGAACCGTTACCTTAACGGAGGGCGGCCGCTGTGGAGGCAGGTGCGGTGTGGATGTGTTTCCGCTCGTGGCTGATCAGAGAGCTGACTGGATTAACCTGCTGCCTCCAAACAGGGGGACAGTGCCACGCAGACCTTTAGTAATATCTCTGCTGTGAATAACAATCTGTGGAACTCTAAAAAAAATGTGGTAGCTACCCCAGGCATTGATTTGTGACGGACGTGTTAAGCTGTTCATTTGTAGCCCCAGAACTTCTGATCTGAATCAGAGGATTCTTTAAAAGTGGATCTTAAGAGGGAGCCGTCATTGTGAGGACAGACCGTGGGTTCGTTGTCGGGATGCTTAAACAGTATTGTCTGATACATAGTTCGTAGTCTTTATTTAGTTATTTTTCTTTCATGCACCGGTTCGGGAAAGCCTGTATTGGGAGTGAGAGTGGTTCATTCAGCGTATGCAAAGATTGTAAGCGCGCGGAACGCCCACAGGTGTAACAGACTATGATGAACCTCTTCGCAGTGATACCGGGTTGAATCACGCATGTGTTGTAATTTGGGTGGACCCTGAGCTATTTGCTGTCCTTGATTTGCGCAGCGTCTGTTCTGATGCTCTGCAGCAGTCTGCGGTGTCTGATCAAAACTTTAAAAACCGCTTATGTCAGCTAAACATGAGGAAAACAAAGCGCGCACACTGGGCTGTTTTGTTTATTCACGATTAGATCGCCCCTTTAGACATAAACCTATGGCTGTTTCCGGTGTTTTTATTTTTGTTATTATTTTAGTTACAATTCTAAACTTGATTTGTGCTTGGTGGTGATAACATGGTTAATGAAAAAAAGAGAACTGAATCATACTCTCGCGGTATTCTCGGTGTTCCCTGCCCACACTTGGTATGGCCCAAAAGCCCAGGTGTTATCCGGCTGATAGACAGCGCTGTATTACAGGAGACTGCGGATTGTTTCCAATCCCCAGGAGGGCATCCCCCACCACCCCTACCATTTCACACGCTCACACTTACAGAAGCAGACACACAGACACATTCCCATGCAGCGCAATGTTTGTGAATCGGAATCTATATATTCAACACAGTCTATTTCCTGAATCTGATAAATGAGGTTCTGCTGTGTAAAAAAAAAAAAAAAAAGTTCTCCTGAATCGATCCTCAGGAAATGTTTTTAATCTCCGCATGAAATTCCACGAAGATTTCCAGCGGTTTGGTGGAGGTAACGGCCCTTAAGCGTAGCAGAGGATGAGACGAGTTACGTGTGTAAGCTTTGAGAGCCGCTATGGAATTCTGATTGTCGTGTGTAAAACGGAACAAAATTAAAATATAACGAGCACAGTGAACAAAATGTAGATGGCCCAAAAAAACGTGTTTCGGATCGGATTCGTCAACATTTCGTAAATAAAAATGTTCCAGATTTTCAGTCAGCATGATGAATGTGGAAAAAACGCGCTTTGATCAGTGAGCATGTAATATTATTGTCTGTAAAGGACAATTCCCACCAGAATGATGAGTTACTCTTTTTAATAATGTATTTATTATTTGTTTTTAAACTAGAGAATGCTTTTTGTTGATGGGAGATGAGTTAGCCTGAGTGCTTCTTGTTGTAGTTACACTTAGCTTTAAAAAAAAAAAAAGATTATTATTACTTTTTCAAAACATTTTAGAGACTCAGTCAGTGTTTTCCCCCCTCAGGTTAACGAAGATGATGACGAAGGGGGTGATGAGAATAAGGCCAGAGGAAACTGGTCTAATAAACTGGATTTTATTCTGTCCATGGTTGGCTATGCAGTGGGACTGGGAAACGTGTGGAGGTTTCCTTATCTTGCCTTCCAAAACGGGGGAGGTAAGACTTTATGTGTGTGTGTTTTAAATAATAAAATAAAATAAAATTTCAGTCAAGGCCGGAATTAGCCCCATTCATTCCTTTATCCTGTTAGGCCTGTAAGCATGCGAATGCTAAGAGAACTATGTTGAAAATGAATTAAAAAAAATAGGTTATAGTGTTGGGATTTCCTCTGGTGGTGCGCAGATATAATGTGCTTACATCGCAAGCAAAATCGACTCTCATTATTTTAACTGGCATTCTTGTCCTTGTTATAACTGCTTTATATAGGAGTTATTATCAAATAATATCCTTAAATGTTGCAGAAGTCATTAAAAGCTGCCGTATGTTTTTCCCCATATGCCGAATGTTTTTTTTTTTAGAAGCAGCCAAGTACACACTTCACGTTTAATGATTTTCACTTTATTCCATAGTTAGGTTCAGACTTTGGTGCTTCTGAAACTCCGCTCTGTAGCCTGGTCTTTAATTCCCCGCAGGAGCTTTTTTGATCCCCTACCTGACCATGCTGGGCATCGCTGGGATCCCAATCTTTTTGTTGGAGGTTTCCCTCGGCCAGTTTGCAAGCCAAGGGCCAGTGTCAGTGTGGAAATGCATCCCCGCTCTGCAAGGTAAACTGGCCCATCTCCTCATCTTTAAGAAATATAATTTTAAAAAAAGAAATAAAAAAAGAAATAAACATATAAAACCCAAATAAAAAATAAATACATTTTATAATCACGAGTTCTCCACTTTCCTTAAGAGTAATTTATCTATTTCGTCTCATTTATTTATTTTAGGTTGCGGGATTGCCATGTTGATAATATCTGTCTTGATAGCCATATACTATAATATTATAATGTGCTGGACACTGTACTACCTGTTCGCTTCGTTGAAGGGCTCACTGCCATGGGCTAACTGTAGGAATGAGTGGAACACGGTGGAATGTAAGGACAAAGACATGCTGCTGTTAGGTAAGACACACACCTTCACACACACATACACACACACACACACACACTAGAAAAGCACCCCACTCTCCACAATACGCAATGCGTCATGCCTCCCTCAGCTAAGGTGTCCTGCAGTATAATGAATACTGACCTGTGATCTCTGCGGCGTTTCACTCTGAAAAATACTTAAACTTAAGAGCACCCAGTTTGTTTTCTATATGATCCGGTTGGATTGTTAGAGGCCAGTAAAGTAGGGGATGAAGGCCCCAGGGAGATAAAATCCCACCTGAAACACGCTATATTTATATCTTCGATTATTCTTTTGTGTGATTCTGTCAGATTAAAGCATTGCTTTATGTTTTAAAGCTGCAGCATGGGGCAGAAGCAGCCTGTTAGTGGTCTGACACTGAATTAAACTGTGGATAAAATTATGTTTTAGCAAAGAAAACATAAAAGCGGAGAATCGAAGGCGTCTTGGCGTCGATTTGCATCGAATAAAAGTCGAAAAAGGCTTCACTTTGTGTAATATTTGCCTTTAGCGATTCTGTGAATTCAGCACAAAAACTGCTTGCTTGACAAATTTACTGTACAGGCTGAGCTGCTGCAGTGCTGCAGTGAGCCCGAGACTGACCCCTGCTGGATGAAACGGGAAGGCCTATTCGGGTCTGCATGTCTGCGTCTTTTGAATGATGAAGCAGACAAGAGGGAGCAAAAACGTGAACTATGTAGCCTGACGTATGTTAATGTGTTTACATATATGATTTTATCGTGTGGGTGAGCGAGGTCTGAACAGGTTTGCAATGCAATGCACAAGCTCTGCAAAAAGAATCTGTTATATGCATACTTTAATGTTTCCCTTTTATGCCAAAGAGATGTGGATATATTAAAATATGTATATGCAGTAATATTACACTACAATGTAATTTTTAAAGCTATATTTGTGGCCTAGGGTCATAAAGGATTCATGTCATGTCATCGCATGTTGTCCATTGAGTGCCCCCCTCCAAAAAACGAACAAACAACGACAACAAAAAAAAACAAAACAACGAGTTGCACAAGTGTGCAAAGCGCAATTAAAAAAACGTCCTGAATCATTAAGGCCCAGTTAATATAAGCTTGAAATGACTGAAAATAGAGTCATATAAAAAGCTTAAACCTACTTCTGTCTACCTTGTTTGCATGAAAAAAAATTATAAATAGTGAGAACAGGGCTCAGAAACATTTATTTAATCATATTCAGCAGTGCAGGATTTTAACAAATACAAGTGGAAGAAGTTTCCAGTGAGGCTACACTACACTGTACACTGTATCCATCTGGCCTTTTCCTCCCACTTCTTACTCACATCCATCTCTTCACCCCAATTCAGAGTGTGTACCTGAGCGGGCAGTAAGTTGTGTCCCACAGCAGCTCTATGCCAGCCTCTCCAAGCTGACGTGTATTGATTTCTGATTGGAACAGACTCATGCATCCTGCGGGACAGAAACATCACGTCCATCAAGAACTCCACTTTCTGCACGTTGGCAAACACAGCGGGAAACCTGACAAAGCTGCTAAACATGAGTATGGATGGAAACAAGACATATGTCAGCCCCAGCGAGGAATACTTTAAGTGAGTGAATCCTCTGGCCAAAAATAAAATGTTGTTTTCAATTCCTGAAAAAAAGATCTATACATTTTTAGCCAGATTAAAAAAAAAAAATTATGACTGGATGAAAGACAGAATCTGATATTTTTTTAAAACTATTCTCTGCAGTTCTCAAGCCATCAAAAAAGTGATCATTTTGCTTCAGTAAAAAGTTCATGGACACTTAGATAAGGTTTATTGCTAATAATTCTAGTTTTATATCTTCTTGTTTTATATTTTGCATTTCCTTTTAATGTGACAACACACAAGTACATGTCCAGATAGTTGCCTGAAGCCACAAATTAATCTTTTAATTTCATACCCCACAAAATCACCCACATAGGAGATATTCACGTAAAACACTGCAAAAATAATCTCAAAAATGTACAAAAAAGTACAGCACAATAATAATAAAAAAAAGTCCTGCAGCATTTTATGAAAACATGTTTATGCACACTTTAACAACAATATAAAGACAGAAAAAGCAGAAGGAAAGAAATCAAGTCCGGAGTGGGGTAATCGTACTGTTTTCCATATACAAGGAAAAAAACTGTACAGAGACTTTGTAGTTCTCTCTTATTGCACTCATTCAGCTTAATATCTTTAAACACAACGAGGCTATCCTCGCAATATATAATTAATGATGATTTATGGAGATTTGTGTCAAAAGTTGGGCAAAAAAAAAATCTTACATAAATCTTACATCTCTGGCAGACCCTCTGACATGTTTGGGACTCTGTAATGTAGATAAATGACTCGGCAAAATGAAAAAACAAACAAACAAAAACAAAAAGTGTCAGCATGAACATTTGATCTGCATTGTTTTTTGTTTTTTAGACTTAACCTTTCTGTTTGAATAACACCTGCAGGTACAATGTGCTGCACATTTCCAAAGGGATTGAATATCCAGGAGACATCCGCTGGCCTCTGGCCGGCTGTCTCTTCTTGGCCTGGCTCATTGTCTACGCCTCTTTAGCCAAAGGAATCAAGTCATCGGGAAAGGTAACAAACTAAAAACAAAACTAAAACCTGCCTTCCGATGTCTTTCTGCTTGAAGTTTGAAGCTCAGAAGACATGCTGCTATTAGTTTTCCTTTGATTGCGTTCCCTTTAATGATAATATCGCCACCTAGTGATGAAGTATGTGACACACAACCTTTTATGAGGAAAAACTGTCATTTCCAAAAATGTAAAAATAACGCAGATCTGAGTTTATTTCCATGAAAACATTTCATATGCAAATACCCAGAGTCTAGAGAAACGCAAAACAAGTGCATTAAATTGTGTTTAATAAATTATCTACTTCACAGCGATTCTTTTAAACTCCGTGTTTGAGTTTTTTTTCTCGTAAGAAATACTTAAATGTTACTTAAAATAACTGAAAGCTATTTTCTTAGTTTAAAGAAAGCAAAAGAAGGAAAAAGTAAATACATAAATATATAATTTATAAATATATAAAATGCTGTTCAAGCCCAGGTGAATGTTAGAGCTGCTTTAAAAAGACAGTCTTATGGTCTCAGACCAAAACAACACCCAGAAACTGAATAAAGTTGCGATTGTTGTATTGTGGTGCCCTCTGGTGGACATAGAGATGAGCTGCAGCACACATAAGCCTGTCACTGTGGAGTGGAGCTTCAGGCCTGTGTCAGAGGTTTTTCTGTAATAATTGTAAACTTGGGATTTTTTTAGTGTACAAATTCCTGTTTGCACCACAATCTGGATCAAAAGTGATCCTAATATAATCCTAATATATATGTTAATAATAGTGTTTTTTTTTGATGAGAAACAGCTAACTCTTGAAAAACTAAATGTTTAAAAGTCCACACACAAAGAGAGGGATATAAATAATCTTACAAAGTTTACTGACTTTGACCGTTTTATGAAAAAACCTTTTTTATCTTTGCATGTGTGTGTGTGCTGATGTTGCTCATTTCTTTTCTTTTCTCATTAGGTGGTGTATTTCACCGCCACGTTCCCTTACGTGGTGCTCGTCATCCTCCTGATCAGAGGAGTGACCCTCCCCGGTGCGGCTGACGGCATCCTCTACTTTATCACACCAAAATGGGAGAAACTAAATGATGCAAAGGTAACCAGAATTTCCTCACTGAATTCTACAAACACTAAAGTACAGACAGAAAAGAGGCCTTCCAGTTCTTGCCCTTCTCCTGCAGCTGCTCCTCTCTCCCTCAGGTGTGGAAAGACGCTGCCACTCAGATCTTCTTCTCCCTGTCGGCTGCTTGGGGCGGCCTCATCACGCTGTCTTCTTACAATAAGTTCCACAATAACTGCTACAGGTAAACACATAAAAGGTAAACTATGCTTCTGGCAGACAAATTCCACCTGTCACCACAGATGCATGACGCTATGTCTGAATGTGTCTGAATGTCTGGTAGGATGAAATGTCAGTAATAAATGTGACTTTTTGCAGCAAGCTGTTTCTTTCATTTTCTCTCAATTTGTTCTTCCTGTGCTTTGTTTTATTGCTAAAGTAATCCACAGCATTTGAAGCCAAAAAATGCAAAAGCCTAAATGTGTGAAACTTTTTTGATTCACAAGAAATATATATATATATATTTTTACTCCATGCAGTCACAATATCTGCACATTAACTGAATATACACATGGTTCATTACTATAAATGAAAGCTTAGTAGTATTATCCACTATTATATATTTGCCAATTGTGTTTTTTAAATGTTGTACACAAGACAGGGCTCTAAGTATGAGAGCATCAGAGACGTTATCAGAGGGATGTGACACTCAGATCGATGAAATGTTTGAGAATTCAGTTGCCGTAAAGATGGTGAAAGAAGTTTGACTTCTTATGAAAAGCTTTTCAAATCATTATTCTGTGGCAAAGTTGGCAAACATTAATAAACAAAAAATCCGATTTGACTCGATGGTAATGAGATTTTTATGTTCCAGTGATCATTTTAATTCAAATGAATTTAGGCAATGCTTCAAAATAACCGCCCAAATAAGAGCCAAGAGACGTTGCAAGATGGCTTCCTCATCCCGAGACCTGGTTCTAGAAGGACTTTGGCACCACTGGACAGTTTTCATATTCATATTTCTATGTTTTAAATACTTAAAAACTCTTGAATTCACAATAAATATATTTGCTCACTTCACGTTTCTCCTTTCTCTTCTTGTTTTCCTTTTCATTGCAGGGACACTATCATAGTGACATGCACAAACAGCGCCACCAGTATATTTGCTGGGTTTGTCATCTTCTCTGTCATTGGTTTTATGGCACATGAGTTAAAGGTGCCAATAGAGAAGGTGGCTGATGAAGGTAAGCTCCCAAACGGGCCCGGCAGTAGCATGAGGTCAGCACCGCTTTTATCTGCACTCGAGACAGTGTCTATGTATTCCTATTGAAATACCATACATGTAGTATATATGTTTGTCTGTGTGTGTGTGTGTTAGGTCCAGGTATAGCTTTCGTGGTGTATCCAGAGGCTCTGACCAGACTTCCCCTGTCTCCTTTCTGGGCAATCATCTTTTTCCTTATGCTCCTGACCCTTGGCCTGGATACTATGGTAACCTTTACGTCCTCTTAATACTAATGAAAAAAAAAAAAAATCAAGTTCCAAGTTTAAATACGAGCTATGGCATTTGGAAGTTATAGCTGGAAACAGGCAAACAATTTGCCCATAAAATGACTTTTAAGTAACTCTATTTGAACTTACATGTTAAAGAACATGAAACAGCACTTTTAGTCTTTGCTCTACTGCTGGAGTAAAATCCTGCACAAGCTCTCCATCTGCTAAAGATGATGTCAGTGTTCTTACCCAAATCTGAGCAAGACATGTAAACAAGAAAAGAGTTTCCTTTTTTTTTTAGCCAGTTGGTGGCAGAAGAGCTCCACACTACCTACGAAACCAATCATCACCCTCTTGTCCACCACAGTGTTTGCGTAGAGGATGAGATGATCTTGTTCTTGTGCTTGAGAGAAACATCTCCTCTCACCTCATCTCTCAGTGTGTTCGTCTTTGATTGTCTTCCTCGCCCTGTTTCCTCACATCTTAGTGCGTCCCAACTGAGATGGAGGCAAGAAGGAGAAATGAGGAGAAAAGGCTCGAGGGCAACACGTATTTAAGAAAAAGTGACACTCTCACTTCTGAGCAAGATTACAAGAATGTTAAAATATTAGGTTTTTTTAAAATTACAAGCACAAACGAGGAGCACAAAGTTTGATTTTCTTTATTAACGAATATAACTTATAAATACAAAAGGAATATTTAGTAGTCTCTTTCTGCCAAAGCTTGTATAGTCCAGTTGTGTGTCACTTAAAACATAAAACGAAAAAATGAGCTGATAATGGCTAAAAAGCTCTGTGAAGTGCAGAGTTGGGGATAATTGTAAACATTTTCAAGCAATAATTAATATAAAAAATATGAATAAAAAGCGCAGTGAGGGGAGGTTGTTTCGTTCAAGGGTCAAGATTAGGGAAACCAATCTCGACCTTGATGCCAGTGTTCATTTTTAATGTGTAATGTGTTTGTAAACGAGGTGTCGTGAGACGTTGGTCTGTCAGGTAAATGATCTGTTTCTGCTGTGGTAGGTATTCAGGCCCACTTTGTTTTAATTTTGCTGAAGAGCTCAAAGTTTGTGACAGTCAGAAACACGAGTCTCTTGACTTTTGTTTGCTCCGAGGTTAACATTTGGGTTTGGTAGCTGATGTATAAACACTGCACACTGCACACATTGACCCAATTAACATAATTACAAATGCACAGCACCCGCTGTGACTGATTTCACCTGAAGTGCCTGAGCTCTCCAGGTACTTGAACAGAGGGGAGTCTGTGTGATTGGAGTGAGTGAAACTAGGTTGACCTTAAAGTCTTGGAGCAACATCAGGAAGTAAAAACAACAATCAAATGTGATATGTGAACACAGTGCTTTACACTGTGGGTGATAAGAATTCATTTTGTTAACCATTCCATCACAGAAATGATGGAAAGATCAATCGTAATATTAATAAAACCACTCCAGCTGCAGTTTGAGCATATGGAGTGTGGAGAATGCCAACAATAACTGCACAGATTTAAGATATAATTCATTTTCAGGAAGTTATTCTACACTAAAAATGTTTATGTCCAAAATTCTCAGTGGAATTTTGTTCTATAATTATAATGTAAAACATTACATTTAATGGAAGCTGGCCAAATAATACTTTCAGTTCATACCAAGCTTATTTTCCTTAATGATTAATTAAGCGTGTAAATAAACCATTGTTTTTATATTTTTCATTTGCATTTTACTCAAAATGCAGTACATCAGTTTTGGGCCCCTTTCCCCTTCAGGACTGCTTTAATTTTTCATGAATTCAACAAGTTGCTGGAAACATTTCTCAGAGATTTTAACAGGACAGCTTCATTCAGCGTCAGCATCACTAGGTTTGAACTTCCGCAGGTTGTTTTGAACAGTTGTTGCCACATGATTGGATGGTTAGATTTTTGTGTCAAAAAGCAATAGCTTACAAAGTGGCCTGTGCCTTTACATTTTAAAAAGGAATTACAGCAAACAAAAAACCTATAAGGTTTTCATTTTAAACTATATATCTGTCTATGATATTGATCTATTGAAACATTTACTTACTTTAGATATCATTTACAATTTGTATTTGGAAATTATTTTAATTCTTCTAATGTCAAAACAATAATTCCACTAGCAGATCCATAAATATAAAAGTGAAAGACAAGTATACTGAAAAACTTCAAACTGACTATATTATTGCTCCATGTCAGCACTATGTTTTCCTAAAATAACCCAAAACGGTTTCATTTGGACCCACTAGCCATGATATCGGTTACTGCGCTGAGTTATGCCTCACGCAGCTTCAGCGAACAAACACTTTTCGTCTTCGGGATGTTTTTAAAGTCCAGAGCACCTCCCGCCATGATCCTGGGTAAACAGTTCCTGATAAAACACAAACTCCTTCAAGTGCATTGTGATGCTCCTGAGCTGAGCAGAGGAGCAGAGGGCACAGTGGTGCATTAAGACACAAGTAAACAGTAACAGTAAATGATGATGTTACTTTGCCTTGGCAGCAGCAGCACAGAGGAGAGTGCTGCTGCTGTGGTTTTGTCGTGGAACGCAGCTCAGCAGTAATAGGCTTGGGATGTTGACGGGAAATTAGTTTTGGGAGCTCAGGAGGAAAAGGAAGAAGTGGGGGAGTGACAGATAGCTTGATGGCAGCGCCATTTCTACAATAAACTTATGCATACGCACACACTATACAACCCTCGCTCAATTTTCATGTTTATGTATTCATCCGCTGCTGTCCTCTGGGTTCCGAGTCCCTTTTACCATCATGTTACATTTGCAATTCTCTAGACAGGCTCATCCTATCAAAGTCTATCCATTGTAAACTAAATCCTTCATACTTATTTGTTTTCAGAAGTTCTTCTGCTCAGGGTTAGAATAATGTTCTTTATTTGTTTGCAAAATAAATGAAATTATGTGTTTATTGGATGAACCGAAGACAAATGCTGGATGCTAAAGTTATGACAGCAGCGGCCGCTTGGATTCAGATGAGGTAAACTTGCTGACTTGAGGCTTTTTATTTAGTGGAATTGCTGCTACGCCCTGGCCTGGGTGGACAATTGTTAGTGATTCTGTAGTGGAGCCAAGCAGGATTACTGTAAGCTGTTGCCAAAAGTATTAATATTAAATAGGAATCATAAAGAGTTGGCGATTGTTTTCAGCAAATGCAATGTTTGAACAACGTGTTTATTAAACATCTGCCATGGTTAAACACATTTCCTCCCTAGTTCTCTTTAATATTTCCCCCTTCTCATCTCCATCCCAGTTTGCCACCATCGAGACCATAGTCACCTCTGTGTCAGATGAGTACCCCAAATACCTGAGGAAACACAAGCCGATCTTCACCCTGGTCTGCTGCGTCTCTTTCTTCATCCTGGGATTTCCCATGATCACAGAGGTATGTGCTCTGCTGCACTCTGGGTTCACAGTGGATACTTGAGCATTCTCCTTGCACCCTCTGACTCTGATTTTTCTGCATGTCAAGCAAAGTTCTGGCCTTCAGATGTCAGGCGCAATGATTGGAACAGTAGGCTGAGTCTTATTAAAAGGAAGTTGTGACCGTGGACAAATCCAAGTGTCGGGTGACAGGAGGGATGACATTGCAGGATGAAGGCTGAATAGATTTTGTAATATTTTCTCTGTGTGTTTGTTACAGAGTGGGATGTACATGCTCCAGTTGGTGGACACGTTTGCGGCCTCCTATTCTTTGGTCATCATTGCTATCTTTGAGCTGGTGGGGATTTCGTACCTCTATGGTAAGTACACGAGCTGCCAGGAAAGCTCACTTTAAGGCCACTCTAGGTTCAGCATGTGAAGTCACAGATGTGATTTTTTCTTTCCACAGACAGTACCTTTAATCTGCATTCTGTTTAATGGTCAATAGGGGGCGACTGCTCTGGTTGCAAATGTAGACAGATAAGATCATAAGGACAGATTAAATTTGATCTAGTGAATACTTCTCTGATGATTTCATGGCCTTTTGGGCAAACTTACGGTTGCCAAGTTGTTATTTTATAAGTCTGTTGTTTTTTCAGTCAAACCAATAGGTGACATACCTATACCCACTTTTTTTTCATTTGTATTTCTTACATAAAAAGCCAGTGCCAGTTTGATTGTGTGTTCAGAGACGCATATGTATATAATAGAATAATAAATGCAAGAATACCTTTCTCTTCTGAAAATCTAGATATCTGATATTGTGTGTGTAATTTCTTTGCTTTGACTTTGCTTCTGTGACACATTTCCACAGACAGCAGGGCCAAACTGTATAATCAGCCGAGAGACCCTAAAATATTACTGTCAGTGCAGGGTGCAGCAGAGAATGTTGGTGGTTTTTGAGGCATTTCTATTCCTGAACTTAAAATCCTTTGTCGTAGTAAAACAGATAAAATCAAAATATCTTCAGGCTGTAGCAGTTTTAACAAGAAAAAAAAATCTAACTGAAAAGAACAGCATAGTTAAAATAACGGGTTTCTGCATCTTAATTATGCGTATCTGCAAAAGGGGACAATCGTCCAAAGCTCCTTCGTGCTGGAAACGAATTCTCACTTGTTAATCCTGCGGTGACCACTAGGAGTCTCTGTTGTAATGCACAAGTCTCTGTCACACACACAGGCAGAGAGCTCAGGTGTGTATCAGAAGGCTGTTACCAAGAAGCAAAGCTCGCCTCCAGTTTGTCATCAGTGCAGGTGACATATTGAAATGATTGTGTGACTCTGCCACTTCATGTCACTCACAGTTATCCGTCAATAAAGGCAGAGGAATGAAGCCATCTGCTCACTCACTTTTTCCAGGGACCACAGAAACGCATTCACATGCGCTCATAAGGACAGATTGAATTTACCGATCCTTTTTTTTAAAGGGACGTTATCAAACCCAGGTCACACTCCATGCCTTCTCTCTGGAAACCACCCATTTCTCTTCTTTTATTTCTTCTCTTTTTTCTTCTTCCTTTGCAGGCCTACAGAGGTTTTGTGAGGACATTGAAATGATGATTGGTTTCCAGCCAAACCGATTCTGGAGACTGTGCTGGGCCTTTGTGACTCCAACCATTCTGACGGTATGTTTGTTTTTGCTCATCTCATTCTCTGGTATGCGCATACACGCACACTCACTCACACACACGCACACAGACACTCATACGCATGGGCACATATGAACATGTGCAGCCCAAAATGCCTCTATTTTCACTGTCTTCTTTCAAGTTCATTGATTTGCAATCATAAAGGAACAGAGGAGAAATTGCTCCTGTACTCAGAAATCGAAAAATTATTTCCTCCTTCACATTCCCGTCATGTCACAGGTTCTCATGTTGATTGTCATTTCAAAACTGCAGCTGCCAAATTCCAAATGTGTCAGCGTTTGATCTGCACTGAACATGTACATGATCAGTAGAGAGTATACACATATCTCCAAAGAAACCTGTCTCTGTAAAGCTGAGAGTCTTTACGTAGAATTCTGTGTAGTCGAAGTTCACTACAAAGGCACGTAAGAGCTGGACACTGGCCAGCATTAATGTTAGTAGTCGTAATGGAAACTACTGTACCTCCAAAGCAGAGGTGACGATGACAAATGGAGCAGCAGTCGAGGCGGCTGGCCATCTTGCTGCTCTCTCTCTCTCTCTCTCTCTCTCGAGATCACATTTCCTCCGGGGGCTCATTGATGCACAGCCTCCGGCTAACCTAGTTCTGTCTGCCATCTTTTCTCTGTTTGTATTCCTTTTGGTCTTATTCTAATCCTTTCAAACCAAATTCACTTTTTTATACTTTTTC